TCATGTCCGAAAGAGAACTCCCGTGCTTGACCTGCTCTTGAAGTCCAGGTTTCGAGGCAATTCCTCTTCCGCTCGCCGCTTCGGTCTTTGGATGTGGCCTTGCCCTTCCTTGCGCCGAGTCACCAGAGACAGGTGCATGATGGTGGATGACTGGCCAAGAATCCAGGTTGGGGGGAAGACCTAGACCCCCCCCGAGCTGGCTGTTGAAGCAAAAAACGGTCAAAGAGCTACATGATGCTACATGGCCCCTCGACTCTCTCTGAGGGGACGTTGTGGTGGTATCCCTGAAATAGCTTCTCAAAACGATGGAACGAGGCATTCGGAATTCGGACCTGAGGAGCCGTCACCCTCTGAAATGCGTGTCCGTTCCACACCTGAACAACACATATTCCACAATCATTGCTAAGAACCTCTTCGAATAGGGAATCCCCTTCCAAGCAAGTGTTTCAAACTTGCCAGTGATCAAGCAGTAGAAATGCTATGCTGAACCTAGGAAAAGGGCAATAAATTTGAAGCTCTATTATACTGGCCCCACATTATACTGGCCTTGTGGAGAATCACCTTCCTGCACCTGCTGACCCCTGCTTTCTGATTCATTTTCACCACCAGTCACCTTTTCTTCTCTGAAAGCCATGGTCCCGACGCACTACTCTACCCATCATCTCATTTCGCATTTCAAAAACCTCCCTAAAATAGTTGAAATATGGTTTTTGTGTTTTGGTACGTGACCCGTATACCCAAAACACTTTCTGATGCCATCTTCAAAGAGCAAGCCCACAGCCCAACTAAATACGGAATATGGCATATGCCTAAGGAGATCTCCAAAGGGGCTGGGTGCTTGCTACATCAACCAAAGGGAGCTAAAGCCAACTCAGGTGTCTGGTAGTAGCCGGTGCAGACATTACGCAGCACATCCACCGCCAGAATGGCTTTGAGACGAAGATTTCCCATCAGCACACTGGATCGATCCACGACGTGCTCGAGCAACTGTTTTTGGGCGTTGCAAGAGGTGAAATCAAACAGAGGTCATCCTGCTTGCAAACTGAGATCAACAACGCCAAAAATCCAGATGTGCACAAATGCTCGGCTTAGAAGTGAAGTAGCTCTTTGGTGGCCATACATCGAGAAGAGAAATGGCTCGAGCTCCTCCGAGGGTTGAGGACATACGGTGCAGTCTTGAAGATCCTCTTGCAATCCTGGCGAATGCTTTCCGCGGCGCACGCCTCGCAGCTGGCTGTCCTTCCAACACTCTATCAGCACCTAGGACCTAGGTTCTAGGCTACATGCTCATTTGATCATAAGAACACCGCGAAAAGCACTTTGTTCTCAGCAATAGCTGGGCTTTCAGAACATGGCCCGCCGCTGGCTCCTTTGCAAAAACGAACGCCTCTGAAGACTCTAAAGTAAGGTGGGGCAGCCCCACCTCCTACGAGTTCATCCTCATCTAACGGAGTGCACATCAGAAACATCAAAACAAAAGGCCCAAGGCCCCAAGGACCATGTTCCCATATTGCTCTCGGTGTTTCTCTTTGGGATCCCCCCCGGTCATCTGTCGTCGATCTTCGCTTCCCGGCCGAGATCAGCAAGCCCTGCAACATGGAGACCGTGCGCTGGGCTTGATCCTCCCGAACCTCAGCCAAAAAGCTGGGTTCACCACTGCGTTTCGTCGCACAAAATGGCGTCCGATTCCACGCTGTTTTGCCTCCAAGTGCCTCCGGTGTATTCCGGTGTCAGCTTGTTTCTTCATACGGCACTGCTGGTTGAAAGTTGGTCCTTTGGGAGCCTTTGATTAAAAAAGGTTGAATGGTTAAGGTTTGGCTCAGCACTTCGAGATGGTTCGATCGGATCGGGAGAAGAATGGGCTTGCCCCAAAGCGGTTACAAAAATAACCGAAACAAACCATCGTTGAATCTACTTCAATCATCGGAGATTTTCAGCATATACTGCCGTGTGACCGGCGTCACTGGTTTGAGAACTATACGTCTGCAAGTGTGGTCAGCATCTCTCAACTATATGACATCGTATGGGGAAAAAAAGAAACGAGCAGGGATTGGTTCATCAGAAATGGCTGGCTCGGGTACATGGTAAACTGCTCATTTACATACATGTGCTGCAATGTCAAACAAAAAAAGTAAAAACATCCAACCTTGGTTGCAGAAAGCGTCCGCTTCAGTCACTGGTCAATCTGAGGAGCATTGACTGGAGCACCCTTGTCCATTGTAGAGTCATCCAGGGCCACAATCCATTTCCATTTCCTCATTCAGGGCGACGAACCGTTGCCACTGACCGGGAGCCACACTATCTTTGATGATTTTGGGAGGTGTCTGAATTCTTTGTGTGGCCATGAAGGCTACAAGACAAAGCAAACTGCACTCGCCTGTTGTGCGACTCCAGCTCCAAAGTGTCCATCTCCTTGCAGCAAGTGACACCAACTTGAGACCTAGTAGCTTCTTGCTCCTGGTAGCGATGCCGGGAGCGACTAGTAGCTTCTTGCTCCTCATGAAGAAAACATTTACAAAAAAGCACAATTTGGGGTTGTGTAGATCGCTGCATCTGTGCGCCAACGCGGCCACGTATGTGTATATAATATATATATATGTATATTATGTACATCCATAGTCCATAGTTGATGCATGCTTACTCTGTTCCACAGTTGCATACACTGTTGCATGCAAATTGGTCAATCGCCAACTTGACAGCCCATCACATGCTTCTCTGCACGGTTTCCTCACCATCGGCTGCCAGCTGCAGCAGCTTCTGTGGTGCCACCTCGAATGCACGAAGTGAAACAGCCAGGATCAACAGACCACAGGCCGCCAGGCCAGGTTCAGGAGAACATCAACAAACAATACGTGCTCCAACAGAGAATAGGACAACTGTGTTCAACTCAGTAGCTACGTTCACAGTGTCGGAAATTGATGAAAGTGTTTGTATTGATACGCCCAGAGATCATCGGCATTCTCAAAGTGCCATGGGCCCTATGATCTATGACTATTGGGATCCACGTAGCCGTCTAGGGCGGAAACTTTGTCCAGCAGGACTTTCATCAATATCCTACTTGAAGCACCCAGTAAGCTTGCTGGCTAGCGAGTCTGCCTGGGATTGCTGTCCAAACCCATCCAGCGATCAACGACTGTTCTGTCGCTTTTGGAGGATCCATCGCCTAGCGCCTAGCCCCTCGTAAAGCAGTTGAATTGAGTCGAAATCCGACGGCAAATGTTCAAAACATGGCAGGCAACTAACATCGTTTCTATAGTGGGATGTCGTCAGTCAAGTTCAATGAAGTCAAGTGAGCTTTTTAGAGCTACCTGGGGATCCATGGGCTATCTGGCAAGTTCTTAATGGATGGAACATCGAATCATCTTGATTCAACCTCTCTGCGCTCATGCTATCAACCAGCTGCCTGACCTTGCGAAGCTCCCGCAGGAACGCCGCGATTTCCAGCGCCTTCTGCTGGGCCTCCAAACGCATCGGCTGGAGGGTATGGATGGGCAAAGTCCGAACGTCCCAAGCGAAAGGGATGCGTGATGCTGCGTGTTGGATTTGGGATGATGGTTTTTGAGGGATTCTATATACAAGCGGGGTCGTTGAAGACGCTCGTCCGTGTAAGAAAGAGCTCACGGCGGCGGCGGCATCTTAGGTGTACAGAAAGAACCTGCTGAATTACATCATTGAACAACACCCTCAAAGAAGCAACTCCTGGTGCATGTCTGGACGATGATGTTCGATTGAGGGTTGATCGGTTGAAACGGTGAAGGGTGTTCATCTACCAATCATGCACCACCGTGTTGTCTCTGGGCGTTCCAGAATGTGTGAGCAAACCGTCAGGCGTGCCTCATCTTTGCCGTGCTTTGACACGTCCACCAGCCCAAACCTGAGAAGCACTTCTGAATGCAAGGCCATATAGGAACCCATACAGATTGTGTCATATACTCCATAACATGCTTTCATCCGCAAGCAGCTGTCATGTCATGCTCTGCTTCCTGGCCCCCGTTGAATATCAAAAAAACATTCAATACGTCGTATGTGCGGTACGTGTGTAGGTGTGTATATATATATATATGCATGCAAATGTTTGTAGGATGTATATAGGTCTGCCATGCTTCGGCCCAAGGGGCTGCAAAGGATGCAGATCCTGAAAGCGCAGAAGTGCGTAGCCAGTCTTTCTTCGTCTCACTGTCAGGGACAGGATGAAGTCACCTCGGGTCGCCAACTGCGGTGGTCCCTGAGCCCGTTATCAGTTGAGTGCTTCAAGACCCAATGATCCTGCTAGTTCGCAAGGGGGCAAATGTGCTGAGAATGCCTCACATCACTACTTTCAAATTGATCTGTCCTAACAAACGGAACTGTGGTCAAGTCAGGATGGTGGGTGATGGGGGGATGTCCCCAAGGCCTGAAACATGCCTGTATTCTGCGCACTCCCCAGGTCTGATGATGCAATGAAACATGATCCCTTTTAGATTTTTTCAAGATTGGTCTGCCAAGGGTTCATTGATGGCCGAACACTGCGAGCTTTAGGTGTCTCAGCGAAGATGCTTGCACCACCAGTGCTGAAAAACATGTGCATGCGGAGGTGTGGGCATATGAACAAAGTTTTGTCTAAAGCCCATCCTCAGGTCGGTCTCACTCCACCAAAGGATACAGTAACTACCAAACGAGTCATTAAAAAGAAGCTCACCTTGACAGTGAAACCCCACAAGCCTCGCGAATTCCAGGCTCTCTCAGGTCCAATGTCATTTGTGACCTCTCCACCCCAGGACCTCACCGTGACTTTGAACCAAGCGCATCGACGCATCGAAGGTTAATTTTCCGTTGCAAGGGCTTCTGCCAGCAACTCACACAGCTAGGCTTTGAGCAAGTAATTGTGCGGTATGTGTATATATATATATACATGATCGCAAAATATCAAACATTGCTGCTCTTTAACTTTAACCTTGCCACTACGTCATCAAACAGATCGTTTTGGATGGTGTTCAGCTGCATGGTTTTGAATTCAAAATTTTCCACGTCAATATCAATATCACAAAACGCTCGCCCACAGCTGTTTCAGAATCAGAATATCTCTCAGCCCTAGCAAAAGCTTGTGCAATTCATTCTGATGCACGCGACCCCGGGATTGCTCAAATACCTTGAGTGGTTTCACCACTCCTTGAGCTCGAAAAGGCAATGTCTAGCTAGAAGTGCGACGCTAAGAACATCTGACTCTCAAATCCCAAAGCGTTCACGGTAGTCTTTGATTCGTGCTAAGAGTTCAGCACGATCATCCTTGGTGTATTGCTGATCGATGAAGGTGATAAGATCCTCCATCTTGGCAATGCTGATCACAGGCATCATGAAGTCCTTCTCCACCTGCTGAATCGCAGACACCTTCACATCTTCTTGCACCCTCTCTTGTCGATCCATCGCAACCACAACACCCACCGCACGAACATCCTTTTGGGTCCGCAGGAGGTCGATGGATTCACGAATTGCCGTGCCGGCAGTGATCACATCATCCACGATGAGCACGCGCGGCAGGAGCGTGCCAACAATCTGCCCACCTTCCCCATGAGTTTTCACTTCTTTGCGGTTGTAGGCATAGGCCACACTCCGACCGTGCTTCTTGTACAAGGCGATGGCCACCGCAGCACCCAAAGGGATCCCTTTGTAAGCTGGCCCGAAGATGCAATCGAATTCAACACCGGACGCCACGATGGCATCTGCATAGAATTCCCCCAGCTTGGCCAGTGCCTCCCCCGTGGTGAACAAGCCTGCATTGAAGAAGTAGGGCGAAGTCCTGCCCGACTTCAACTGGAACTCCCCAAACTTCAAAACTTCTTGGGACAAGGCGAACTCCACAAAGCCCTGAGCTGTGGCCATGGCGATGTCCCAGACCACGACGGACTCCCCACCAGTTTTTGCAGGCGCCTTTGAGCCACGGGTCACCGTCCAGAACTAACTAACCGATGTTGGACCAATCGTCGAAACACTGAACTGCCGCTTCTCCACCAGAAAGTCTTTTTGGTTGAGGATTGCACCAGAACCCGTCCCTCCCCCCCAAAAATGAACAACAAAGTGCTAGAGTGACCGACACCAGATCTATGGCTGCCTCTGGGCACGTCAGAAATCGCGATTTTTCGAGTGGGGAGAGCGCAGCGCAGCCCTCAATCTATCTCCCACCAAGCCAAGTGACCCAAATCGTCCTTTGGTCCACGCGGCAGCCTGGCCTTCTTGGACGGTTTGCCCGAGGCCTTCGGAGGTCGCTGCGGATGTCGCAGGTGTTTGGAAGCATAGGATCATCCTCGAAGGGGTTACACTCCAACGCGCCATAGAAAGAGAAAAAAATCGAAAACATGAAAAAAAAAACTGTAAGGATGAGCAATCTTCCCAGTGGTCAGGTTCCACTATATATATATATATATATGAAGTGAGGTCAAATTTGATTATGTGTGGTTGTTGCATTCTCAGATTTGTGAGCCCCCCAATTGTGTTCCAATGTTTTGGAAGCTTGTTAAAGCATGTTCTTGGGGAGCCCATTATCGATTGAACATCCCGGCATATGAATGCAGCGCTCTTATGCAATCGTAAACATCGCACAGTTTGAAGGCATGTCATATGCACCTTTGCTGGTGGGGGTGTGCTCCTGCCCAAACTGTCCCACTGTGGCTGTGGTTTTGGTGGGGGTTGGGCGATGGAACGAGCAATCTCCAGCGAGTGGGCCTTCTCAAGAGCAGCTTCCCATTCAGTGTCGTCGTCCCAAGACCTGACTGAAAGTATATGGAAATTGAAAAGTTCAACATAGCACAAGAAAGTGCTACTGAGAAATGCCAGTGTTATATGCAACATATCTTGTTGCCAGTGATGCTGACATTCTTGGTGCAACAAAAAATGTCTATGTACTCCTTGTGAGGACGCTCAATTGATCTTCCAAGACCTATCTTTGTGCTTGATATGTGTTGAATGCTGTGTACTATTAAGTGTATCTACATCTATATCTATATCTATATCTATATAGTTATAACTGTTGATCGTGCTGTTTATTGGTTATGCATGCTGCTGCCGCCGTTGGTTGCTGTTGTTTCTTGGTGGTGCTCTTATCCCATCCTCCAGTTCCCAAATCCAAGGATTCTTTGTTCCCAAAATTGCCCCCAACGTCACCTGCTGGAACCACTTGTCTGCTTGGGATCCTTCGTCTTGAGCTCCTTCCAGGTCACATGGAATGCTAGCCCCCCTTCAAGCTCCACACTCCACACCACAGCTATGGCTCATTCATGGCACAACAGCGCTCCGGAAAAGGATTCTCAGCCTGCCGCTCTAAGGATGAGGTCCTGGGCAATGCGCTACTCAGACTACTCACGGCAGTTCAAAGACATCCGACATGTCAGGTGGCGGCGGTGGAAGGTGTGCTTCAGCATCCCCGAAATATTGCCTGAAAACTCTATCTATATGGGTCACAGCCATAGCGACAAAAGGGGCCGCCGGGATTGCTCCAAAATCTCCATTCCGGCTGCCCCAACCCGCCTCGCAAAGCGTGTGGCAGAAGGCCTGACATGAGCAATTGCGCAAACATCGTGTGCCACGAAGCCACTCCCGTGTGATTCCTTGTGTTCCAGCTGGGGTGCCCAGCCATATGTGCCACACGGGTCCTGAACAGTGCACATTGTCTTGCACTGCTGCAAAGGAAGCATGCACAAATCAACAGATCAAAGCAATATTAAACACGCATAATAACGCCATGGACAATAATCATTTCCATCGAAATCAAAAAGAATTGCTGCATTCCTGCCTGCCCCAAGGCGGAGGCGAACTTGCCGGAAGCATGTCAAAGTGCCCATTGTGGAAGCGCGTGCGCATAGATTGTGCTAGCGCCCGGCGCCGTCAAACAAGGCTTGGTGCAAAACATTGCAAAGCCGCGCGATACAAGTTGAGGCAAAAATTCAATATAAGGGCCCCCCGGAAGCACCAGACTCCAGACTCAGAGTGTTTGGACCTGAACAGTTGAAGAACTGACTGCCTGTTTTTCTTTCTATGCCATAAACTATAACAAGTGATTGACACTTTGTGTTGACAGTTTTCTGTATGCATGTGTCTGACTGAGATCAGCTGCGGAACCGGCAGGAACACGACTCAAAAAACGATCGGCCCTGCAACCTGGCTGCTTCAGTCGTGAACTGGCAGTTTGCACAAAGAATTGTGACTGAGCAATGTCGTGCACAGAAACGACGGCTCAGTTTGAGAACGGCGGTGCCTGCTCATGCAAAAGGCCCACACATGCAAGGCGTGGCGAGCACTGAAGTTTGCTAAGGTCCTTTTGGCATTGATACAAGAACAGAAGTTGCGTTGGCATGGTGCATAGAAGCAACCAATTTTTACACGTTTCACACACACACACACTCCAGAAAAATAACCATCCTGCGATTGCGGCTTGCCACACGCCAACCTAAGTGAAAACCTATACGAGTCCAGGTGAATACCTCCAAGGGGCAACTGCGCGACGGGCCACGGGCGGACTCATGTGCACTTTAACGCAGAACCGAAGCCAGGAGAAGGGTCTTGTTCTAGTTACGAGCAGGGGCCACTAGGAATTGAATGTCATCACCTGGCAGGTACGCAGTTGGACGCCTCCAACTGTATCTATCAATGTCTGATGAGCGTCTTTGTCAGCACCGGCCCCCTCAGCACCCCCAGTGCCCCCTCCTGTCAAATCACTGAAAGAAGCAGAGAACAAGTTCAACAGAATCCCTGACTCCACGGTTTTCACACACACTTAATCAAAGTTTCATCCAGTAAGATAATCCACGAGGAAAAGAGCGATGGAACGGCAAGATGGCTGAGTCCGCGAGAACAGAATGTTAGAACATGTGCTTGAACTCTCGCAGAACGCGGGTTTGGGAACTATCATGAAGGACCATGAAATCAAAAAGTCTGCGGCAAGGTGGACCAGTGGAGCCAGTGTGTTGGCCAGCAAGTACGTCCAGAAAGCGTCCTTTCTGGATACAGTATCACGACCAAGCTATCACTGTCTTCGTTGGGCAGTGAGTGATAGCAGCAGTCCACTGCCCCCCTGCTGATTGCGTTCAAAATTAAACTCTGGATACGGAGTGCGGCACACATACATACATACATACATACATACATACATACATACATACATACATACATACATACATACATACATACATACA